CTAGCAATGCCACCCCCTCCCCCACCAGCCCCCTTGTACCGCCCCAATGATACAAACACACAGTCAATGGTCTCTGGCGTCTCTCAAGGCTCTGGGGTGATCGAAATCGTCATGGATGATGAGGATGAAAAGGCTTCAAGCGCTCCCGAAGCGCCGGCACCACCAAATCCACCATTCGCACATTCGCGCACATCCTCTTTTGGTCACAACCGTGGACGCAGTGAAAACGACAATAGCTTTTCCGGTCGATTCTCTCGCGCCGCTGAGCGCCTTCGCAGTGCCAGCCGTGGGAGGAACGCAACGTCCCCTCTGAATGCCAGAAGCCCTCAAGAGCAAAGCCCTTACGAAAGTGTGCCATGGAGTACAAACCGATCTACGGCTACCACTCCCAACCTGCCTGCCGTTGCACCTACTTCTGAGAGACATCCTAGGGAGGTCAAGGCCGCAATGCAGGGTATGGAGGGAGGAATGATCTAGACCTATACTATTCTCACTCTCCTCATTTATGTTTTGCATGCACACTTTACCGGCGTTTTTGGGCTACTTTCTTCATCATTCCCTCGATACCCTTCCTTCTCCTTGTTCCGAAAGGGAGTCAATTTCTTGCATTCTCAGAACTACTTATGATTTACGAATTTGCCTCTTAAGGTGGGCGTTTTTATGGCTTTCACAATCCATCTTTATTATATGTATTCTACTTCTTACAATCCTTTATTTGCAAGATTGCATATAGGTGTTATTAGCTTGTCGGTTTTGGCACGAGATGCTTGTTGGACGATTGGTGGAGAACGTGTGTTTATAGCTTGAAGAGAGTGTGGGTGAGACAGTCTCAGGAGATTTAAAAGGGGTTGGAAGGAGAGAATAAGATGGAAAAAGCTTCACTAAACTTGACGCCTCACGGCTGGTTATTTGAATAAGTAGCGCTTGTAACCACAATCATTTCCACAATTATAATATAAGTCTTGCGTTATTAATATGGTGATGTGAATCTGTTTATGGAATCCCTGTTAATATTGAAATGGGAGAAAGTAATGGAGCGAGCGCCACGTGCACATAGTTCGCTTAAACGTGGAACGGGAATAAGCGAGCTGAAGGATAAAATGGGACTAAAAAAGATGGCAAAAAGATTGAGAGAAAGAAAGATGATAAAGAGATAAAAGGCAAAAAAAAAGTCGACGCTCAACCCAAATCTCATAACCAAACCACGCAACAAGTGTAATCCAATACCGCCACCCGACGGTGAGGATCTCTCTGCAGAGTGAGGCCTCCCTCGAGAAGTGTTCTTCATTGCTTAAGGCTCCACCAGCATCGTGAGTTACCTACACGAGTGGGAAGCCACCGCCGTGTTCGAACTGGGCACTGTTGGTGGTGACCCGAAGGTCGAAATGGTTAGAAAGATACGGGATGCTGATATCTTCTTAAACTTGTGACCATTACAGCCGAGCACCTTTTGACTTATTTCAATTTATATAGGTACACACATTAAAGGCCGGTGTTGGCCCGGATCCGAGTTGTGATTGGCTGCTATGCCGTTCCTACAACCAAAAGCCAACCCGTTGCAACATCTACCCTCCCTCACCTCTCACAGCAACCAAATCAAACAATCACCAAAGACAAAACCCAGGCTACTGCCATCATGGATGCCCCAATTGCGAACGAGAAGAGAAAGCGGGCGGCAGGGGACGATACAGCAAGGCCAACAAAAGCTATCAAGACCGAGCTTGCGTCGCTCCATGAGCCTGAAATCGAAACGGCAGAAACATCCCCCTATTTCAAAGAGACCACCACCAAACAAGAAACCCATCTTACACCCTACCTCCGCAAAATCTCCCTCTCCGGTAAAACACCCTTCCAGAAGAGGGTCCTCACGGCATTATGTCAAGTCCCGTGTGGCCAATACACCACTTACGGCATCATGTCGAAACACCTCTCATCCAGTCCAAGGGCCGTGGGCAACGCATTAAAGAATAACCCATTTGCTCCACAAGTTCCTTGCCACAGGGTTCTTGCTGCAGATGGTGGGCTAGGTGGCTTCATGGGGAGCTGGGGCAGAGGTGGAGAGAAGGGCAAGAACGATGACAAGAAATTGAAGCTGCTGAGGGAAGAAGGCGTAAGGTTTGGCGGAAATGGAAAGGTTGTGGGGAAGGTCTGGGATGGATTCAAGTGATGAAATGGCGGGATGTCTTGAGAAGAGAGTCTCTTTGCGTCCATTCAGTCTCCCATACCAGACCAATTTCTCACGCTCTGTATATGAACAGCGGAATCGCCAACGCCTCGAATACCGTGCAGAGTCCCCCTCCATTCCTTTTCAATGATATCCAGACCAGTCAACCTAACTCTGGCCCACTCCGGAATATACTCCGTCCCAACACCATCTTCCTCGGTCTCCATGTTGAACCTTGCCACATCCGCACACAGCAGACTCATCCACTGAGCTTCTCTCCAAGGCCTCGTACCAAGCAAATCGAGCGCGTCTCGCCGAATCCTCCGGTCCCGGCAGTGAATCGCTGATGTGAGCAGTGAATAAATCAGGCCCATGTCAAAAGTAAAGACTCCTTCACCAAAAACGATATCTGCGTGTGGATGGTTAAACACCGTCCTGCACATCCCAACGAGGTTTTCCATCTGTGGAGCAAAGGAATCCCATATAAGCTCGGTAGACGAAAGGTGACCATTTAGACGCATCGTGGTATTCAACGAATGAATCTTCATCATGAGGACTTGGAATGCGTCCAGATGGTTGATATCCTTCAGCGAGGATCGAAATAGTGATTCAAATGCTTTACTCCAGCGTCTATTCTCGGCCGCGTACATCTCTTGTTGAACCTTCATGCGTGGAAACCCACTGTCAGTATTTCTTCTTTCCGTGTATATGAAAAGTGGAGTAGGAGAAGCATGTTTCGACAGCAACATATACCTAAGAAAGCATGGCTTACCTGCAGGCCATCGAGGATAACAAGTGCCCGAGAAAGTTCCTTAGGGTAAGCATCCTCTTGAACTTCTTTAAAATTCAAGAGCGCATATTTATCAGCTTGTGCGTAAGCCATGAAATGAAACGTTCTTCGCATTATTAGTTCCAAGTACTGCCTAGCATCGTCAATGTTCACAAAAGCCTCCGGCATATTCCTAACAAACGAATTGCCCTCGTCCTTGAGGATCTGATGCTGCTCTCCCATTCGTGTATCATATAGAGCCAGGACCTGAAGCTCCATGCGGTCAAATTGCTGCAAAAGTTCGTCTTCGATGATATTGGGCGCAGATGGTGATATGCCGCCACTATTCCAGTGATCCGGTGTGTCATTATCGTTCTTCAGCTCCTCGATGAGCTTGAACCCCTGCTGGGAGTGGAGCAGGGCACTTTGATGGTGTAGTTGCATAGACTCGATGCACACCACCAGCAAGCAAGAAATCATTGCCAATCGTCTCCCTTGGTCTCTCTTTGCGACAGCTATGTGCGTCTTTGTCCCGGCCAAAAATTGGTTGTACTGCAGAAGTGCAAATTCATAAAGGAAGGCAGCATTGGGATCAGATGGACTTTCCTCTCCCGTCCTTTCCAATTCTTTCAATTTCATCGACCTACTTAGACCTCCAATCGCAATAATAGCATGGCGTACAAAATCCTGGTCTTGGCCAGCTTGCAATAGCAAAGTCTGCCAAATAGATTGGCTGATATAGGATAACTGGGGAGCCACCTCTTCCCGGTAGAAGCAGAAGCACCGGAATTCGTCTTCATTGCTAAAGTTTTGCATTTCTAGGTCTTTTTGTGGTGTCGTTAGTTCTCTGCTGGGCTGGTGGTCTTTGGGAAGGATCGCTCTATGGTCCGACGATGTTGAAGTTTCTCGTTGCCGGCTTTGACTACGACTCCCAGGGGCTGAAGAATCGTCCTCGTACCCACTAGAACATCATGAGTCAGTACTTCTTATTTCGGTCGCTGGGCGAGTAGGAGAAGTGAAGGACAGTGTAGAGTCTGGATTTCTAAGTAGCAGGATATCTGTGGTTCTTACTCGCAATAATTGTTCCCGAACCTCTGGCATCGGAGACACTCGGGGCGTGTCTCGTCGCACTTGACTCTCCTAATTTCTACCGCAGCTAATCAGAAAGCTCTCCTCGTTTAGATAGAAACGGTCAACCTACTACATGTTTTGCATCCAGTCTTCACTTTCGGCTTCCTGTTTCTCTTCCTGTCTCTCTCTCGTTTGTCTTTCGAGCTTTCTGATTTATTAGCCTCCATTCTCCTCTCGCCATCTACCAGACTACGTCCAGTTTAACAGGACCATAATCTATATACTTACGAGCTTCATTCATCCCTGATCACACACGAATCCCAGATCCCAAACCTCAGCCCTGTGGTTAGGGCTACGGCATCTCCGTTACAGTTCAAACTAATCCTTCTTTGTAACCCTTGTTTTGATGAGAGACAGCGGCGCAGACTTTTGTCATAAATTCGTGGGGGCGGAATAAATTGCCGAGGATGGGTACATTCAAATCTGGTCGTGTATTGATCATATGTGCCCTTTTCCTGATTCTGAAGGTTGTTGCCTTCGCCTGTTTATACCGGAACAAAAACTTAGCCTGGTCTAGTGCGGTAAAGGGAGTTTGTGGGGGCCATTTCTATCCAATGTCCAGGCCCAATTTCAGCAAGATTAAGCTAAGTAACCCCTTGAAAATCCCCTGGGTAAGCTTATTCAGCTAGGTCATGAGTATTTTGTATGGTCGGTTTTTAATCATACGTACCAGACCCCACATTCTTATTCAAAATCTACCACATTCAACTTTTATAAGCAAAGTTCCAATATATAGTTAGGCAGTGTGAACAGTCTCGGCTCTAGTAGCAGTGTTTAGGAGTATCAAGTTTTTGTTCTGATTCGCCTGTCTTAACAATACCCAGTCCAGTGGAGCGGATTGAGGCGCAGGTAAGATTTTAGACGAGGCAAAGAGGATACGAAGTACGGCGTAGGGCTGAACAGCAGGGGTAACCGGGGTCTCGCCAAATCGCCAGGTTCTGCTACTGTTTTTGGTAAAGGTAGCAACTACTGCCGAGGGATTTTGTTTGTTTGGGAATGAAATGTGACAGCAATACTATAAGGGGAATGGCGATCACGTGGTGTTGAAAAAGACTGGCAGGGACAGGAGCCCGCCGTGTAGTGAGCCCAGTACGGCTGGAATAAGCAAGCTTATTTCAATGTTGTCGGTGTCTGCAATGGGGTCAGACTTCTAAATGAGAGAGAATCCTACTAAGTTGAATCTTGAACTCCTGCAAAGGCAGCAATTTAGGCAAAATCCGGTAGTCTGGCAATTTCTGAGTCTGGCAAATACCGTGTCTACTACGGTACGTTACTGGCATCCACTGAACCACCATTTATCAGATAAAATTCTCGGCCATTCAGCCACGCATGAGGTTGAATTAGCATGTAGGGCACGGAAAGCTTACGTTGCATTAGTGTATTGATTTTGCGGCTAATTCGAAAGCATCTCGTACCAAGCACCTATCCAAACTGCCTGGCTATATTCCCATGCAGAAAATCCTTCGCAATACTCAGATCATGCTATACTTCTGCCCTTCCATACAGGGTTTGGCAATCCATATTCCTTCAAATGCAACATACAGCGCCCCTCACCCTTTCTTTATATTCGGCATGGTAACGGGAAACAACCTCGGCCGACAGGCGGTCGTCACTAACATCTTCTCCACATTGTCATCTTCCCTAACGCATGTTAATATTTCACAGGCCAATGATAGCGTTACTTCTACGCTTGGTCCTTTCGCTCTGCCGTTGCATCTCAATCCGCAAGGGGAAACCAAATAAACGGATGCTCCCACTATAGCGGTACGGCCAACTATAGGCGTTTAGCAGGTGCTTTATTGGGATATCGGAGGATTGGTCGTCTATTTTGAAGCTTATGACTCGGAGTCTCCACTGAGCATGTTCATGGACCACCCTTAAAGATTGACCTTCTAAAATCCTAGTTTGTCTAATAAGGGCTATTTCACCCGGTTAAGCTATTCCGCATATTCCTAGACTGGTAGCAGAGATTGAGCTATTAGCTTTGCACTCCTTCTCGAATCATGTGCTCCATCTGAATCTGCCGCAATGAGATAGGGCGAATGACCGGCCTTGACAGTTTCAAATTGCCTATGGCATCACCATGAGACTTGATACAAGCACCAGCATCCAGCAACTCCTTGACAATAACATGTCCTTCGCCGCCATGCCTTAGTGCTACGGAGTCCCAAGCCTGGATCACGCGAGGTCGCAGGGTCAATTTCCATGTTCCTCTCCAGGTTATTACAGCAGGTTGCCCTCGCTCAGCTCGCTGGTACCTGAAGAGCATCGCCAATCCCTTTTCTCCGTTCCATAATTCCATTGTTTCAAGATTTGGCATGTTCATGGCCGCTGCTGCTGCTGCCCGGAGCATGTCATCCAACTCCGTCGGGCGCTCCTGTGGCATGAGCAGTCGTGAAGTCAGCGCAAGCCAAGTTAAGTTGGGCCACTTCCAGGAAAGTTCTCGAGCATCAAAAAATTGGCTAGCGTCCACTATGAACGACGCCGAGAGGTGTTCAGGCGTGAGACTGGCTTTAGCAATTGCCCGGCTAACATAAGAGGATGGTATTCGCATAGGGTCACATCCCGTGCAGCTAGCTGGGTACGTTTGGTCGAAATTCTCGAAGAGTACGAGTCTCCGTAGTCGATCGGAAGAGAGCGATTCAAAAAGAAGCCCGGAAACTACAAAGAACAAGAGTATTAGCAGGTTATCAGCAGCCAATAGTGTTACTGGAACACAGAAGTGGCATCTTTTTGGTTACCCCCGTAGTGCATTACACAAAATATTATCCACCCCACGCACTGCCGAAGTTTCCCCTATAATTAACATATCCTTTTGGAACATTGTAGCGCAAGTCTTTTCTAGGATTATTAGGTAGCGCGGCATGGAAGCTGCAAGTCAGTCAGTCTATCACCTGAAAGTTCTGACAGTAGAATAAACAACGAATATCATTGAAACCCCTCCAGGAAGCTCAGATACAGATCCAACAAGACCTTACAGACGTGAGTCCAAACGTCGACAAGTATGCCATACTTCTTCGTCCAACTCCAGGTACCGTCAATAGTGAAAGTCCAAGATGATCCGACTCGTTGGTGGCAAGACACATGAAGAATATGAAATCGTCTACACGATGCATTGTGATTGTAGGAATAAGGGGTGCATGACAGAGGCGTTAAACGCCTTCGCTGGACCTGAGGGTATATTTTAATCATTAGCCAACGAGCAAAAGGCTGCAGTCTAAACAACTAAGCATGGGCAGCAGGATTGTTCATGGCTCGGCGGCGACTAGCACAGAAAAGAACGAACCCGAAGTCTGACTGTAAAACAATTAAAAAAAATGAATGGAAACCCCGAATTGATAACCAAAAAATATAGCATATACCCAGATCTCAACAATATACATGTATTATCAATTATGTAGTACACGAGTAGTTTCCACGCCGATCGATAATAACTCGACGGAAGCAAGATTTCTAAATCCATTATTCTGGGTGACTGGACTGGATCCTAGAACCAAAGTCCCACGAACATCGCTATGGACCGGAAATGATTCTTTGCGCTCGTTGCAGCGGATTTGATATGGTCTGTGCCATTCCCAATACATCGTATTGGCTTCAGCTTCCCCCCAAAATGATTAATTTTGGTGTGCTGATCTGAAGTGGAAATCGAGGACCAATTGGACTAGCCATTCTTTGACGCCATATAGGTCTTATTCCTCCTTCACGGTCGTTTCGCAGGTGCAACGCCCCCATCCCACTGCGCAGGCTGCCACTGCTCACTTGGTCCACCACGGAGTTGTTTCCACGGGTCATCTTTCTCCTTCATCTTCTGCTCGGGGCGCTCGTCATAACGGTGTCGTACTCCATCCGGGACTTGCATTTCATGGGGCTCTTCCGGCTTCTTCGGAGGCTCTGCTTTCGCCACTTCCCCCATCTCTCCTCTTGTCATATCTGCAACATCATCTTCCTTCCTAGACATTGTATTTTCCTGGTGCGATCCACGGGCCCCCGGTGCTAAATTTGGTAAGGGCTGTCCTCCTGCGTCCCCTGGCGCATCTAAGAAACTCGGCTTCGCAGCCCACCTCGCATCGGCCGCAGCTGCCAGGACCTTCAGATTCCGCTGACGCACCAAGTCCTGTGACTGTTCGGTGAGGGATGGTGCATCGGCGCGAGTGTGTCGAAGCCATTGGTGCCATTGGGGTGGAATGTCGACATCGCTGTACTGGGTTGAACTGGGATATTGGACTATCCGCCGCATGCGGTGCTGGTGCGAAGAGAGCGTGTCTCGAAATTCCCAAAAGGTGTTTCCGTGGAGATCAAGACCTAGAGGGGTTTACACTGTCAGAGAGATATCCGGAATAATGAGTGTATAGTAGCTTGGCTTGATTTGATAGAAGGACCAATGCATTGCACACTCACCAACAAGGAATTTCTTCCGGCCTGGTACCCATCTCAGCGATTTCCATCTATACCAGGCCTGTTTGATGGGGCTGAGGGGTTTCTGTGATGACATGGCGGTTTGGTGTTGACAAATCTTTGCATCTTGATGGTTATTCTTGACATTAAGCTCACCCCTGCAAGTATCACGTGCCATATACGGAAAGAACCTTGCAATAGTGGCAAAATCGGGGTTTAAGACAGAAAGAGAAGTAATGATTATGAAGAGCAATACGTCCGGAAAGGAAAGAATGATTCATAATCATATTCATATGACTGTGCATCCAGTCTTATTTGGAAACATGCAGAATCGTCGAATAGAAGCCCGCCATTCTTTCATCATTATTGACCATTTTAACGCACAGAAAAGGTCCTCGAGGTACTCACCTCGTCTAGACAGGCCTGTCTTACCAAAGATGTATACATGCAGTATATAAATAGTCATTTGTAAATTTAACCCCTGACTGCCGAGACAATAGCCGTCTAGTCTGGATAAAGTCTCGGTAACATACACGAGCATGACCTTGAGATACAGATGGTTTGGAGTAATAATAAGGGAAAGTCCTTCCTTTTTCGAAATTACTCTGTAAGTGAAGGTGGATTTAGATAAAAGCAACTAAAAACCCCATCCCTATCCTATTCAAAATGGAACTAATTTTACCCATTTATTTACCTCCTCCACTTCCCGAAAACCTAGAGAACGAGATTTCAGCGCGGCGACGGCCCGGGAGGTAGTCTCACTATATTTATCGTGCCGTATCACCACATACCTCATTGATTGTTTGCTTCAATCATTTAATTGGTAGCATGAGACGAAAAGGGGCTTCCATTTTATTTCCATTTGATTTTGCAGATGGTCGAATCAGTACCGAAGGTCGGTAAGTGTAAGGAAACTACCGGTATTTGAGATATGAAGCATGAGTCGCGGGCCGAACGGCGTCTCCGAAGGCTCTTATACACCTAAAAAGCAGCACCGATTTTGATTGTTCTGAGCCAAGTGGCACATTAAACTGCTGCAATCATGAGTGCCGCTTTTCGTATCGACTATCTGGATGGTCTTCCTTTGCGAAAAAGAGTAGGTGCCAAATCGTATTGTGTATAGGCTTCCCCGTAGGAAGCTCCATCATCCTTCCAACTTCATTTTATGCGTCCATTCATTTCCATCCATCCATCCATCCATCCATCCATCCATCCATCCATCCATCCACCCATCCGTCTTTATTCTTTTCTTTTCTTTTCTTCTCGGTCAAGTTGTATGAAATCTATTTTAGTACTATATCGGCCTTTGGGATCATCAGCCACTTTCCTGTAGCTGTGTGGCTTGAAAGACATTTCTCGTGCTCCTGGTTGGATACTCGAGTAGAGTTCTTCAGCTTCGCCACCTTCTTCCATGCATTACGGACCGTAGATGTGAGCTACGCTCCGTAGATCTACATTCCGTACCCAATTCCGGGGAAAATTTGCCTCGTTAGCTTTGATCTGGATTCTAGAGCCTCCCCTCCCAATGCTCCCATCGTGTGCCTGCAGTAGTACAACACCACAACATGCACCACCACACCTCTCCAGGGCCTGGGCTGGATTCGATATGACGGCCTTAGGTTCGGCTTTATTCTCAACTGTTTTGTTGGATGACTATCTACATTGTTGAGACGATGAGTCTTCCAAGCCTTCATTCCCTTCACTTTGACAAGGTCAGCTGAGTCGAGACTCAGCTGGTAATGTTCTGTTTGTCACCACGCGGAGACGGAGATAATACTTTGTCATGTATGCCTAGACTCAACGCGGTAGCATTCGCGCCCAGTCGGAGGATTACTGTTACCGGGAAAAAAGGGTAGCATCAGCACCTTAAGCATTGTCGGAAAAGAATACCTCTTCACAGTTCTCTTAACAGGATGAGGGAAATTCAATGATTCAAAATCCCGTCGAGTTCCGCATGAATATGTACTTTCTGCTTCGGCCGTCTGCGGGTTGGGAGAGATGGGAGGATGATTAGGGTATCTCCGAAAGGAATATCGGGAAAAGGGCTGCAGTTACGAACAAGACCCAGAAGATGATTCCATCCATTCAACAATTACAAAGTGGACGTATCAATATGCTTGAGCGGCATTTAAAAAACTCTATACAGTAGAGACGAGTCATTATTGCCAGCACATGTTTATTTCTTTAGCCTTCACTCATGACTGAGCCACACGATAACAGCGATAACTTTATTTGGCTTTACTGTACTGTACATGTATCTCTATTCTTATCACAGACGGGCAAACCCCGCCTTTTGCAGCTTTAAGCGGGCCTCGAGAGAATAGCCGTGCTGATCTTCTTCTTATAGACTCGTACTGTAGGGCTTGTTACGACTCTTTTCAACAATTCTGGAGTCCGTATGCCTGGATAGTTCACTCTATTCCATTCTAGGCAAGTTTCGGTCAGATCCGAATGTCAGCACTTTATGCTAAGCGAGCCAAGGAGATACCTCCAGCCAATGGGGTTGGATGCAGAGATGTGGCTGATTAAGACTTTGGGAGGCTGTGTAAGAAGGAGAAATCCTGATTTTCCAGGCAAGTGCAGGTCTTTTCCCAGGCTAGACACTGGATTAGGAAGGGACAAGAAGAATGCGATGCACATCAGATGCATGATGATGGAATGTTGCACCCACCAGAGGACCCCTGACCCACAATAAAACCCGGCCATCGTCAAATCGTCCCACCGGATCACCTGCACCTCCCGGTTTGCCGACCGGCAACAGACAAACATCCCACCACATCACATCTCCCCTCCCATCCTCCCCTCGATGACTTTCCTACCGGTAATCGCGGCCTCCACTTCCTTCTTCATGCAATGCGAGAATATGCACCTTATGCACCTTTTAAGGTGGACCGACTGGCGCGCCAGAATCTTCTTTCACTTGCTTTGTTCGTATAAGACAAATGTGGCCCGCGTCTCCAACTATTTTCTACCCCTCCCTTCTTACTCATACATACGACCAAATACTCATACCCACACCCTCGACCAAGAAACTAGGTACCTTGACTTGACTACCTAACCTACTCGATGACTACTATATTCCAAGTCACAAATACGTGTACATAACTATCTATCCACCTACTACGACGTCCTTGAGTACCTAACCTTCCTTACCTCTGCGAATACGACTACTGTGAGCACATGATCTATTATCGTACTTGACTTGATTACGAACCCTTCCACGCCCCCGCCTCGGCTACGTCCTTCTTCCACCTCTTTCCAAGAACATTAGCCTGGACCACGGTACATAAGGGATCGCCACGCACTAATGTTGGCCTCAAGACGTCAATCTTTTCACCCTCCATCATCGCACCTACTCATACCCGATCAACAACAACAACAACAACAACAACAACAACAACATTGGGCTTCCAACACAATCACATCACAACAACCTATCTACAACAATAACAACAACACGACGGCGACCCTCACCAGTAACACCTTTTCGTTCGGCGCCGATCAGCCGTTGTTCGAATTCCAACCCCACCACTTCAACCCGAGTCCGTCTCAATCGCTGATGCCCACCGAGTCGGCAAACCATAGCTGGCTCTCAAACGGCCAACTGACTCCGACGTCTACCACGAGAGCTCATCACCACCGCGAGTCCTCGCTGTCGTCCTTGGGATCAGCAGGACCGGCTTCACCATATACCGTCAACACTTCGAATCCACAAGTAGCCGGGGATATCTATCATGACTTTCACGACTTTCAACAATCTTCTTCGAAGCCTTTGACACCAGTGCATACACCGTCGCAGGAGCACTTTCTTACATCTCAGTACTCGAATTTCTACCACACGTCGAATCTCGAATACACAATGGGCAGTGATGGAATGCCTAAGCCAGTGGGAGACGCGGCCTTGATGGCTGTGCCCGAGTTGAGCAACAACAACAATAATAGGCATCCAGGACGACGGTCAATGGCAACAGTGGCAAGTCAGGAGTCACCGTCCACGCCACCGTCATACGAGGAAGAGAGGCAAAAAAATGGTGAGAGTCCAAAGATGGATTTCTTTTCGGACGATTACTTACTTTTTAATGATCAAGGCTTCAGAAACGACATTCCCAAACTCCACAGAACGATGACGGATGCTTACGCGGATGAACTGTATAACCCGAGCTTCCACATTACCACTGCTCCTCAAACACAGACAGCAATGACGAGGGCCTCACTCTCGCCTCAAAACGATGTTTTCTCCCAAAGACTCCAGACCGCCAACAGTCAACACTTGAGCGCCTCGAATACACAGATTCCATTGACAATACCGAGTCGAGAACGCTCCCCTTTCAGGCAAGGGTCTCCCCTCGCTCCCTCTGTGAACAGCTTTGGGCCGCTTTCACCCAGTATGCGACTCGGCACGGCAAGCCACATGCGCGAGCAGCAAAAGGCGGAGAATGATGCACGGGCGATCCAAAGACAGTTTGAAAGGACATCACCAGAGCAGACAACACCGAAAACCATCTCACCCAAAGATGTTGATCTAGTCTATCAAGAAAATGAAGAAGATTCGAATATGCCGCTATTCCCGCCACCACCCCCTTCGCAAAAGACACAGCAGCAGCGCCAATCACCGCACTATCGTCAGCAAGCAGCAATCTCTCAGGATACACAGGAAATGGATAATAGTAATGCATCGCAGCAAAGCTATGGGAGTATGGCAACATCCAGGCGGGAAAGCTCATCCGCATTCTCGACGTCGTCACAGGCTGCACAGCAACAACAACCACCACAACAACAGCAAGGGAACTTCAACTTTGTGGCTCCTGCACGCCAGATGCAAATCCCGCAGCAGTATCCGTTTGTACCCCAACTTCAGACTCACAGACACACCAGCGGGCTCTCGGCAGTTAGCGAGGACTTCCCGGCCACCCTGACGTCGATGGAGTCGAGCAGCAGCGAGTTTGCACCAGAGACGGAGCTGGAGCCGGAGCCGGAGCGGTCGATGGACGAAATTAAGAAACCCTCCCGCGTGTCGGCCGACACCGGAACGTATACCTGTACATACCACGGATGTACGTTGAGATTCGACACACCAGCCAAGCTACAGCGTCACAAACGTGAGGGTCATCGCAGTTCGGCCTCGGTACCGGAGAGCGACCATAGTGGCAGCGGGATGACGAGTGAGGCGCAACGGAACTCGCAGGCGGGCCCACACAAGGTAAATAATTCCATCCATGCATCCATCCCATTCACCCATGATCGATCGATGAAGCTAACCACAATTATCCCCAACAGTGTGAAAGAAATAATCCGTCGACGGGAAAGCCGTGCAATACCATCTTCTCCCGACCGTACGATCTCACGCGACACGAAGACACGATCCACAATGCGCGCAAGCAAAAGGTGCACTGTCCGCTGTGCACCGAGGAGAAGAGCTTCAGCCGGAATGACGCGCTCACGAGGCACCTGAGAGTGGTGCATCCGGAACACATTGAGTTGTCTAGAAGCCGACGTCGCGGTGGACATGATTGATGCAAATTGAACCATCACCTCACTTTCACCACGACACGAATCTGACCACTTTGTCACATTCCTTCCCCCAGTTCACACCCCCCGTCACCCACTCCCTCAGTCACTCCCATCATCCCCTCACAATAACGGTGGCTCCACCCAAGGGCACCTCCGTCAAAGTACCTACATCGTACATACCTGGGGTTGCACCACTCACTCCATGGAAGGTATCCTTGACTTTCCATTCGCCAATTGCGACTTGCACAGGAGAGATGTGGGGCGATAAGTGGAGTGGTGGAGTGGTGGGGTATTCCCGCGCGCCGGCCCGACTCGTAATGACATCATGACCCTCACGACCTGCATACAGTTTCACGGATACGATTCGATGGAACACACTCTGCCTTAATTCACGACTTTCCTTCATCGTCATCATGTCATCATACCCGATCGACACCCATGATCCATCCTATACTTTCAACTTGTTTTCTGGGAGCGAGGAGTTAGATGGAGCGCTTGCCAATAGCGTGCACCTTTGATGTTTTCTTTTTCTCTTGACTCGATATATTACATTCTCCCTTTCCAAACCAATCATGTGTATATGTATGTATGGTTCTGGTGCGCATGGACGGAAATAATTTTGGGCTAACGGAAAATGGGACAAAAGCCGCGTAATATTTGCTTGGGCACAGATTTAGATTAGAATGTTCGCCTCCTGCTTGTATAACTTTTCCTCGTTGGTGCTTTTGAGCGTACTGGTGGTGCCCGCATGTGGCTTGTATATATTTCTACATGGTGTATGTTTGCATATTGAGCGAGTATGATGGTGTATATAGACTGGAGGTATAATACCTTTCTAAAGATTAATGAATAACATTGTACATGGGAAGGGCAAGTCTTATCATCGTATGCTTGGCAGCCTAAGAAACTCCTCCAAAATATTAATCCAACGTGATTCTTCCCTGCACACGATATACCTCAACTATACAATTCTTCAGCCTACCCGAAAACAACTAATTGTTTCTCAAATCCCACTAAATCCTACCGTGTGTATTTAGACTTAGATGGGTGCATTGTAAAAGCGGTAGAACTCTATTCAACAAAGGGGGCGTCAGGGACTCTCATTTTTCTGCTAGCAGACAGCTTGTAAAAAGTAAACCTACCTTAGCTACCTATCTAGCTGCAGACAGACGTGTTGCTTCAACCGCGTGAGCATCTATTCCTCACTTCAGACTCGATAAAACGTGTGTGTGTAGTAAGAAGTTTGACGGAATAGCTGTCTGTTTCTTTCCATGTTAAATTCGGATTTTATTGAGCTAGTTGACTGATCTAAACTACACTGATTCACCTAATACAGCTGCCCTTGCCTCCTCGTACAACGGTTTGATGCCTGTCCATTTTTGAAACTACGCGGAGTGCACAATTAGCAAGATCCTTCAGGGGATTGAGAACCTGAGAGGTAAGGGACATACCTGGTACCAACCCTGAGCGCTCAACACCTCGAGCCCGGGAATCGTAACCCAACCTGCATCACTCGCCATCTGCATCAGCGCCGTCGTGCTCGGCTTGTATGCCATCTCCAACAACGTGCGCTGGCGCGTCGTATCCGCCTTGGGATGTCTGATGATAGCAGCTAGAACCTCCCGCATGTTCTGTTCAATCGGCCGGTCCGCGGGGATCGTGCCAATGGCAACATGCGGCACCTCGGTGAGAGCTCGGCCTCGGACAACGTTAGGGGGACGATGTTGAATTCGGCGGGGAAGGACGAGATCATCGAGGCGAGCTTCGATGGCGTCCGCGAGACGATGTAGATGGGGCTGTGTGCTAGGGATTGCAGCGCGTAGATGGCTGCTCGGGCAGTGCCGCCTGCGCCGATGACGAGTGCGCTTCCAGGGGCCCCAGACGAGCTGGTGGAGTAGGAATGAGATACCAGCGAGTAAGTCATTCCGAGCCAGTCTGTGTTCTCGCCGAGCAGTCGTGGAGGGCCGTCAGGTTGGCCAGGGGTGGGTATGATGGTATTCACAGCGCCTATGAGCTTTGCTGCGTCGGTGACATCGTCGAGGAACGGGATGATGTCCAGCTTGAGGGGTATTGTGACTGAAGCACCTCCGAAATCCCGTGAGCGGATGAGCTCCACAACGTCTTCGACTTGGTCGGTTTCGACGCCCGAATACTCGTGCGGGAGACCTACTTGCTGGAACAATGTATTATGGAGAGCTGGCGATCGTGAAGCCGAGATTGGTTCTCCAAAGAGGTAAAATTGCTTTGGCTGAACCTCGCCAAGTAATGATAGCCCTTGACGAATCTCCCTGGCTGACAATTGCCCTGGTGCCGCTTTGAAAGGCAGAGCTGGGTGCGAAACTGGGGTCATGAAAGCATTCAATACGCGACTCAATTTGCCGAGAGGGCCCATGTTGATGGCAATCAAGGGAACATTGTGGGCGGCAGTCATCGCAGACTTGAACTGTGCAAGAGCAAAGTTGTCCTGCATAATTTTTGCACTACCAACCAATTTGATAATATCGCCGTATTGAAGAGCCCTGTTGTAGTATTGCATCCAGCCTCCGTTCTTCCATGAAAGTTGGCCTCGGGGGTCGTGGTGAGATGCAATGATTCTGGAGAACCCTTTTGCTTCGGTGATGCTTTGCAGCAACTCGTCGGGGAACGCGATCTCCAAATCAATGTACTCCATCCCCATCCTGATAGCTGCCTTGTACAGTCCAAGTGCTTCTTCCTGGGCATCGTCTGGGAATCTACCTCCTTGGCTAACAGTCCGCAATGTAAATATCAAGGGTAACGCAACGATAGATCGTAGATGGGCTACCTCAACGCTCAAGTATTCAGGAGTTGGGATGCCGTTGTTTGAGCTCGGATCTTCTAGTAAATCCACTCGTACTTCAACGGCATCTGAGCCAACTACAACCGCAGGAAGGAGTTCGACTGCGGCAGATAATTTGGGCATCGTGAGTGAAACGAAGAAAGAATGCTGCTTACTCCGGATCTCCTCGAAATGGGTGCTCTGTCCAGAAATGAGTGACAGGAATCTCCCGAAATCTTCACGTGCAACAGACAAAGCTCCAGAATCGCCACTTTTACTGTGGTATTGAAAGTTACTGCATTCATGAAACCAAGGTTTCCGGCGAAGATATACCCCCATAATGTCTTCCACGTAAGCAGGTCGTGTCTTGTCAATTTGTAGATAGTCCATGACTTGCTCTGTATCCCGGTGTACTAAGAGCACAATCCCACCGGCTTTGTGGTAGTTGGAGAGGAGGCGGCGAGCATCTGGCAGTTCTACAATGCCACCACCGCAAGCAAACACGTAACCTTTGGGCTTCTCATCAATTACCCGCTTCAGTAGGGTCAACTCCGCATCACGGAATCCCTCCCAGCCCTTGGCTTTGATTAAATCCGGTATTGTCATGCTAGTAGTCCTCTCAAGTTCCACGTCTAGATCTAGGAGGGGTCGGTTGAGAGTTTTGGCTGCCCAGCCACCAGCTGTAGTCTTCCCCGCACCACGCATGCCAATAATGAACATGGACTTGTCCGACAGAGCCGTTGTAGAAGATGCCTTTTTGGAGTGGCCGCCTTCTACTTCCTTTCCGGAAAGACCAACACCGAACGACAAGGAAAGAATGTCCCACCATCCAGGCCAAGTCTTCCCCACACACTCCCGTTCTGAGATGAGCACCTCTTCTGGTGCAGCCACCGCCAGCACACTAAAACTCATCGCCACACGGTGATCGTCGTAACAATAGACTCCAGAGATAGGCTTCTTCAGAGTCGCAGGAGGCTTTCCATCCACCTCAATTCCATCTTCCAGTTCACGGCATACCACGCCAAATTTTGCAAGTTGGTCCTTCATCGCAAGGATGCGGTTACACTCTTTAACTCGTTGGTTGGCAATGCCCCGAATTCTCGTTGTGCCTTTTGCAACGGCAGCGAGAACAGATGCGGTCAAGAAAGCGTCCGTCATTGGCTCCATATCAACCTCTTGAATGGCTTTCAGTTGTCCGACTGCAGGTCCAGTGACGGTTGTCGAATGATCTGTCTGGACTACTTTACATCCCATTGGGCGAAGGACCTCTATTGCAAAGCGAGCGTCTCCTTGCAATGACATGGAGCCAATGTTCGGGATTGTACAAGTAGTCCCAGAGATCGCTGCCACAGCAAGAGGATAGGTCGCGGAGCTGGCATCGCTTTCTACAACATACTCTGCTGGGTTGCAATATACCCCTTTGGGAATGTGGTAAGTGTGATCTTCTGTATCCGATCTAGTGACTTTGATTCCAAAACTTGCCATCATGGCCGTAGTCATATCGATGTATGGTTGAGAAATGGGCTTACCGCCCACAAGATGGAGTGTGACGGGCTTCTTGGCATAGGGTGCACACATGAGAATTGAAGAGACATATTGGGAAGAAACTGTAGCTGCAAGTTCGATATCACCACCTTCAAAGCCACCGGAGGCCTCAACTTTGAGCGGGAGACTGTTTGGCTTCTCCAGATATTCGATATCAACACCATTTGTGCGGAGTGAGTCGACTAATGGTCCTATGGGCCTGACTTTCATACGAGCGTTTCCAGTGAGAATTGTTGCTTTGACACTTGAGGCTTTGCACAGAGAGACCACTGTGGTCAAAAATCGTGATGCAGTTCCAGCATTGCCAATATAAAGCTCCGTTGGGCTGGCTCGAAGATCGCCTCCTTTTCCTTGGACTAAGAGAACCTCCCCTGCATCCTCCCACCCATAAGTCGCCCCTCCAAGCTTTGCAATTGCAGTAAGCATAAATTCCGTATCATCCGAATGCAGCAAGTTTTTGATGCGGCATGGACCAGTGCCAAGAGCCGCCAATATCAGAGCCCTGTTGGAAACGCTTTTCGAGCCCGGAGGAATAACTTCATTGTTCAGCGCTTTCGGGACGCCAGGACTGACCACAATCGCATCAGACAACACAACCCTAATCGCTCGATCTTCAACAACACTAGCTTTAAGCTCATGAGTTTTTCCAATGGCAGAAAGCAACACAATCTTCTTTTTCTTCCCGTCATTTTTCTTGTCAACAGCCATCTTTTGGAGCAGTACATCAACTGGGCAGCGTTTTCCAGCCGTGAGTTTTTGGACGCGCTTATCCTCGAGAGACGTAGGAAGTCCATAGCTGGAAATACATTTCACAAGACGAGCAACAGCACCGGGCTTGAGTACACCCAAGTGGCGAGCCAACTCTGCTTCTTTCACCATTCCAATAGCAACAGCTTCTCCATGTAAGACCTGAGGTGTCAAGAGTGCTTCATAAGCATGGCCTATAGAATGGCCGAAATTCAGGAGATTCCTCAACCCACCTTCGCGCTCATCTGCAGACACAACTTTAGCTTTTATTCCTGCTGATCCCAGTACAATTCGCTTTAGAATATCCCGAATAGGTTCGAGCCGCGAGGAACGATCCGAAGACTTTGCCCGAATGGTTGCCATGAGGAGATCTGCATTGGCCTCCAGATTAGCAAATTCGGCCTCGTCCCATATAGCAGCTGTCTTGACGACCTCGGCCATGCCGTTAATAAACTCGCGAACGGGTAAAGTCTCAAGGAATCTCAGGTCAACGTAGATTCGTTGTGGTTGCCAAAATGCGCCGATCAGATTCTTCCCCATCGGAGTATCGATTGCGGTTTTCCCCCCAATTGCCGAGTCCACCATAGACAGCAAGGTGGTAGGAACCTGCACAAAGCGTACGCCCCTCATAAAAGTCGCTGCTACGTAGCCAATCATGTCGCCGATGACCCCTCCTCCCAGTGCAATTATAACGGTGTCCCTTGTACATTGCTGCGACAGCATCCAGTCCTCAATTTCGGCCTTTGTTTCTCGGCCTTTGGAGGATTCGCCGGGTGGGATTTCGTAGGTGAGTAGTCGTGGGCAGGTATCGGACTTGGCTGTGAGGTTGTCGAAGCTCTTCTGGAATGCAGGGACATAGATGGGAGCGATATTCGTATCGGTGATGAGCACGTAAGTTGAGGAGGGGAGCTTAGAGATCAGATCTCCGGCGACAAAGGTTTGCCATATGTCAAAATCAATAATAATGTCCTCTTTCCCGAGAATAGCAACGCGCGTGGGCCCGTCGTCGGGGGTGGTGGATGAACCCATTGTGGCAGCAGCGGACAACCAACTACTCTGTGGCCAATCGGTCTGGGATGGTATGGGAAGTAGTAGTGGCAATGGTATTCCTACCCATGAGCGTAGACAAAAAGTTCAGAGGACTCGAATGAGGTATGAGTGAGTCTTCGGTGACTCTTCACAATTTGGTTTTTTTTTGGAGACCAGTGAGGGAATCTGACCTGATCTGCCACCCTGACCGCCTTGGGTTCTGCAGTTTGGACCCGATTCAGTCTAGTGCATAAATACTTCAAATTGAAAAGATGATAGAGCTAGCAGATTCACAGCTAAAACCTGTTCCCCGACTATAATTCAAACAAAGACTGAGACCATTCTCTTAATTTCGAGCGATATAAGTACTCGTGTCGTTAAGAAGACTATAATTGTGCACCGCTAGCACGTGCCCTCTGAGGATCTTCTGTAAGGGAACTCCTCTGTAATCACACTCTTGTATTTATTAACATCGCCGCCGCGGCACGAGTACTGGTACTAGTACTAGTAATGCTTGAATTATAGTCATATGGTTTAGCATAAGTGTTATAAAAGGCTCCAGTATACTTCTTTATATAAAGATGCCGGGCATCCGTGCCTAGACGTTTCCAGTTGAAAGAGAGGTATGGAGAATACAAAGAGGGCCGAGCGCTATAAGGGTATATACTTCGAAGTAGTATCAATATAGTAAGGTAGACACTATAAGCATCACATTAGTTCTTAAGGTAGTAAGTCTTATATAGTGCGCCTACAATTATAGGATGCTGTTACCAAATCTACAAACCAAAGAATGCCCTTTACTACCTAGACTGATGTGGACTCCGGCTCTCGGAAACGTTTTCATTCTAGTATATAAATATATAGACTATTCTTGGCGGTTTGAGCTCCAATAAGGCATAAATGACTATATCCAAGCATCTTTTCAGCCAATCAATACCTTGCTTGAGCCATGTTATAATCCTTGTTTTGCAGATTTGGTGACAACACTCTGTACGGAGTACGTCGGATAAGTAAAAACTGCCGGGTGAGCTACTATATACCGGTGTACTGGTAAGGCTCCACGCGTCTACCCTGTTCTCTCGGCGGATGAAAATAAGAGTCCTAATAGATAGGCGAGTTTTGGTGCATTGATATTCGGAGAGAAGACGACCTTAGTGGAACACTACGAAGATGCTTTTTGCTGACTCAGCATTACGCAAATACCTAAGATCCGAATCCGAGGCGAGGGCAAAATACTTACAGTCCAGTCCTCATACCCGGAATCTACGACCTGCCTGGTGAAAGCTTCACTTCTCTCCCTAAGCATTCTTCCTACCAGCTCATACTCTACCTTTAATAATGGATTTCGACAATGACAATGAAGACTTCAGCCTGCAACAGAGCGCATCAGCAACTCCCGCAAGTAACACCCCGCCAAAGATAGTTCGTAATCCGGCTGCCTGCGACTCATGCCGACGCCTAAAGGTACTCCGCTGCTGATACTTCTGTTTTCTGCAGATAGTCTAATTACTGGGTGGTTCTTATTTGTTTTAGATCAAATGTGACAGGCCTGGTGGCGACGGTCATTGTTCAGCATGTATTGCTCGAGGGAACGGGGAATGTGTACAGACCACCGTTCCAAGGAGACCAAGGGTGAAGAAGTTTGGGTTAGCTTTATTTGATATCTGCATTTAATGATGGCTGCTGAATGATTACTAGGAAAGAATTGCTGTCCACAAGTCCGTTTCCTGTTCTCCTATCCTCCATGTGAATGGAAGCCTGATGATATACTCCTGCATAATTCTGGACATAGATATGTCCTATTTTTGGTTTCTTCTGTGCCTTCCCTTCATACTTATTTGGCCCATGCTAACTTTCAAAATGTCTAGTGGAGAACCGCATTCGCCAGATGGAATCCGTCCTCACATCAGCCATTTCGAACCAAGGAAAAAATGACGACATTGACACATTTGGAGAAGGGAACATCGAGCAACAAATGGCAGTATCCGACAGACTGTCTATAGTGATTCTCAATAATACCGGCGGTTCGAATTTTGTCGGTAGGCAGAACAACTATGCTTCGAAGAAACAAGGGGAGTTAGAGCTAAATTCGTTCAGGGCCATCATCAGGATTCTCCCTCTTCTCGCCTCAAGGCCTCTCGTGGATCTCTAGTAAGGCCGGAGATCAAGATCTGGGACGGTTAGTATCCGAAGTTTCACAACTAGATCCCCAACTTTGGGACCAAGGAAGCTGGACCGAGTTTGCCGATGTAGCATGGTCGCATTTACCAGTGGACCAGCAGGAACCTATGCCTAGCAAGGAAGTAGCTTTGGAATACGTCGAAGGTTCGTGAGAATCGTAATGCCTTCATCTGATCAAGTGCTAATTGCGCCCCAGCTTTTTTTCTCTATTTTAACCTTGTATTCCCTCTTTTCAATCGGGCCGTATTTAACGCAAGGTTTGAACGCCAGTATTCGGATGACCCCCCCGATAGTGCAGCATGGTACGCATGTTTCAATGTTGTACTCGCACTTGGTTGCACTATAATGAGAAAGATACTACTTCCACACCATTCTCAAAGCATGTTAGATCCTCCATCAGAGGAACTGTCTATCAGATACCTCAGGAATGCCACGAGTAAATTCATTGATCTGCAATTCGGTACTCCTAGTCTGATGTCTGTCCAGGCAATGATTGCAATAGTACGCCTCTCTCTTACACTTGAATGAAAAGATTAGTAACCCATACACAGGTTGTGTTGCTCCAAGGTTCAGCAAATCCATTATCGGTCCATACCCTAGTGGCCACAGCAGTACGCTTAGCACATGCTATTGGACTGAGTCTGCCCTTGACTCATTTTGGGTTATCAGAAGTTCAAATCAATGAACGGCGAGATGTTTTCTGGATTCTTTACATAATTGAAAAGACCTTTTCGATTCAAACCGGACGTCCAGCGATTATTCATGACCAGGATATTGGAATCTCGTTACCCAAGCCGTATACCCCCATCTCTCTGCCTCAGAGCGAGAAGCCGGATTTCAGCACGTTCCTCGTTTGGGCAAAGCTTGCAAGGATTGAAAGTCGAGTGTACAGCGAGCTTTATTCCGCAAGGTCACGGACGAGATCAGTTCTCCAAAGGCTGACATCGGTTGGCAATTTAGATTTAGAACTTCAAAAATGGCTTGATTCTGTCCCTCTCAAGATCCGTCCAGAGCACGATATACTGTGCGGTGACCAGCATTTATTGCCAGTCATCGTTTTGCACTATTCATACTATCACTGCCTTACAGCCATCCACCGAGCTTCGGTCCAAAGTGGACCATGGACCAGCGATCCATCGGACCCAAATACCGTTCCTCAGAATGTCAATCTGAATCCACGGGTCTATACCAGCGGAGCGATCTGTGTTACCGCGGCTCGCAGGATTATACATTGTCTCGATTTATTCAAGAGAGATCGCCCACCTCCTTTGATATGGTAACTATATCCCTACTTCAGAGCGAATTCAGCTAACGTTAATATAATAGGATTGCAGTTTCCCAACCTCTTTGCGCATCTTTGACTCTTTTCGCCAACATTCTCCAACATCCAGACGACCCAAATGCTGCTTCCGATCTCCAATTAATACATTCTGTCACGTCACTCATCGGAGAATGCGTCTCGGAAAAACGTCTATATTTCGCGACTAGTACACTTTGGATCTTCAACGAGTTACATCGGATAGCCAAAGTATTTCTAGCTAGACACAAACAAAAAAAACTGGGCGAGAATATAGAAGGAAGGATTGCTAGTTTAAGCCCGTATACTCACTCAGAAATCTCGAACGCCGACTCAAGGACCTACTCCTCCGCCAACTCCATGGTTCGTTCCTTTCCGCACCCCTTCCCACTTGACCTTTCTCCAAATGCCCCTTTTATAATGAAATACAGTCTCCAAGTACAAGCGCTAATATTATCTTAGACTAATAATGATATTGCCCCCATACTACAGCCTCAAAATTCATCTACAAACACAATATTCCCAAATCCTCATTTCTCCTCCGCCATCCCCGAAACATCTCTCCCTTCTCAACCGTATAACACCGCCCCGATACTTCAATCACATAATTATATGCCCGCATTTGATAATGCATCGCTCGTAAACCCCTCGTCGCAAAATGCCAGCTCACTAAATACTAATAACTCGCTCCTATATGGCGACACCGATTTTTTTAATTCATTTTCAGTCCCAGAAATGGACGAGAATGGCCTTGGGCTAGATTATAGCGACGATTGGTACTTTCAGCAACCGATCAATTGACTGCTGAGTGTACAGCCAGCGAAAGATGCAGTGAAAATCTAAATGGGTTGGGGGGGCGTATAGTGTAGGAAAATGGATTAACGGCGTAACTTAACTTAGAGCGGGTGTTATAGAAATTGGATTACGGAGTATTTGAATTTTATCGAAAGGGATTTGGGTGGCCTGTATTCTAGCCTAAAGATCTATTAATTTAGTATTTATATACTCGCTGAGTCTACAAATATAATAAAGGAGGCCTCGGTTAACATTGATGAATACCTTGCATAAGGTAGGTTAGGGTAGCGATGCATTCCCTCGGCTTCGGAAATATTTTCTTTAGGGATTTATAATCACAAATCCCACCTGATAGTCCAAGTATCCTTGGATTAATCTACAAGTACTACTTATAAACTATAATAAAGTTGGTTTCTAGACCCGTTTCCTCTCTAGATATGTCAAAACTCTTCACCCCGCTCCAAATCGGCAATGTCACGGTCCAACACAGAATCATTATGGCGCCCTTGACGCGCTACCGTGCCGACGACAACCACGCGCCCCTTCCTATAGTCAAGGAATATTACGAACAACGTGCCTCGGTATCCGGTACTTTGCTCATCACCGAAGCAACTTTTGTGTCTCCCCGTGGTTCCGGATTCGCTAATGTACCAGGTATCTGGCACGATGCGCAAATCGCCGCTTGGAAAGAAGTCACTGCCGCTGTGCACGCCAAAGGCTCATTCATTTACTGCCAGCTCTGGGCACTCGGCCGGGCTGCCCATGTGGAGCAATTGGAATGCATAGGCGAGAGACTGGTGAGCAGTTCGAATATACCACTGGAGGGTGCGCCCGTACCGGAAGCATTAGTCGAGGAGGAGATTTGGGCCTTTGTGAATGACTTTAAAACCGCTGCCGAGAATGCAATTCACGCCGGCTTTGATGGAGTCGAGATCCACGCTGGCGGTGGCTATCTAATAGACCAATTCACCCAGGATAACGCCAATAAGCGTACGGATAAATGGGGCGGGAGTGTCGAAAACAGATCCAGGCTTGCTCTAGAGGTTGCAAAGGCCATCGTTAGTGGTATAGGTGCTGAGCGAACCGCAATCCGATTCGGCCCCTATGCCACCTTCCAGGGCATGAGGATGGCAGACCCAGTGCCACAGTTCACTTATTTGGCCACGCAGCTTAGAAACTTGAAGCTGGCCTACCTGCATATCATGCTACCTAGGGTCCAGGCAAACTTTGACGTCGAGACGGATGAGGACGTCGATTTCATGATTCAGGCATGGGCAAACACCAGTCCAGTATTGCTAGCTGGTGGCTTCAACTCGGCATTGGCGAAGAAGATGGTTGATGAAGAGTATCCAGATAGAGATATCGGAACTGCCTTTGGTCGCCCCTTTCTTGCAAACCCCGACCTACCATTAAGAATTCAGCATGGTATCCCTTTCAATTCGTACATTCGCGCTACATTCTACACTCCTAAATCGGAAGTAGGATATATTGATTATCCGTTTAGTAAAGAGTTAATTGGTAAGCATATCTTTTATATATAAGCTCTAAAGCATTAATTATACTATTAGTAGCTAATATGTCTATATATAAATAGAATTGTAAATATTAAAATGTATATATTATATATATTGTTGGGATATACGATCCGCCCT